ATGCAGCGTTGATGTTGATATCGTTATTGTAGCGAAACTCGAAAACAGTAAAAACATTAATATTCACATTTGTTTGAAACCCTAAACTATAGACGGCATAAATCCCTTGAAATAACAAGGAATTAGAGGTCTGTTTGCAATCTGGAGAACGAAGGATATAATCTATTATTAAAAAATTGGTTCGCGGCTGAAATGCTTCAATAAGCGCATAGCTCTTCCATGACCAGATTTCACTTATTACCGTATTGCTGTACTTGGTAGACCATTGTTAGCTCACGCATCCATGGTATATGAGCTTCTACAATGCTAGATAACTGCCAGGTCGCTTAGTTCGCTAATGCAACTTCACACCCATCATGAATGATATTTCAAAAACTGATGTTTCCCATATTCTAGCGCTACACGGTCAGAAAACGGCTCAGGGAGTTCATGGATTAGACCTCGCGTCGTGCTCGCATTGAAATCCAGTCCCTCACCCTAGGTGTGCAGGTCGGTCCTTCAGTACAATTCTCGCGCTGTGCGTAGTCGAGCCTTCCCTGCAGCTAGTTCGATTTCAGGCAGCGGGTGAGGGTAGGGCATCGCTATCACTTAGAATCCATGCACTGCAATTGAAGTTATACCATTGGAAGCGTGTCCTGCTCAACGTCTTTTAGGTGACTAGAAGCAGGGAACGGTGCGATTACGCTCCGACAATCTGGAGAAGTGACAGTGGACAGTAAGTTCAAGTCTGACGTTTTTATCTTTGTCATTTCTGAGACATGATGAAGCCAAGCGGGCGGTCTGAGACTGCGATCAAACACATGAAATATTACGTGAAACAAGTAACCAGGAATTATGAACTTTCCAAAGGCTATTAGCTTACCATCGGCCATAGATGACAGGAGACAGAGTTCATGTGATATGGTGTGATATTGTGAAAGTAGATCACTACGGAGAGGACCGTGAAACAGGCGCTGACGGCCACCAACGTTCGCTTTTGTTTCTGAGTACTTCCTGAAAGAAACGATGTCACAATCATGTTATGGTTTTGCGTAATTACAAGTAAAAATATAACATGCAGTATGTAATATTGGTGATATATAATCCACCACAAGAGGGTTTAAGTTTGACATGAAAAGTTGGGATCATGTTAAAGAAAATTTGCATCTGGACCAAGCTTGTGATGAAGAACTTCGCACACGCACACAAAATCCATTTACGACCATAATATGCCATATGGAGAACAAAACAAGTTTGCCAAATGCCGGTTGCATGTTGTCATAGCTGACCAACTTTAGATCTACAATGCCTAAGAGCCCTTATTTACGTTTCAAACTATAAACACGTCATTCTGCTTACCGACTGCTGGGTGTCTGTAGCGCTCGCCAACCATACGGTTGATCCGACTTTACTGTCCCGTCAAATGCGAACGGTGGTGCTGTTAGACGCTTTCCCATTGTCATCTAATTAACGATGAATCACAGTTCAAAAACTGCGCTCAGACAGACATTTGCAGAAGAACAGTGCGTTAGCCTTAATGACATAGGGGAGGCGAGGGAGGGAGAGGCAAAAAGAGTTTGTCCAAATGAGGAGTAAAGTATTCCTTGGACGCCGGGATATCAGGGACATCCCGCAGCCGCCTATTGATTTGTTAAAGGTACAGCACATGTTGCAAGTCCTGCACACCTTGGGATTGAACATGGCATAAAAACCTGGTTCCTTTGAAAGTTATGGGACCGTTTTACAGCAGTTCGACTACAGGGGGCACTGTAGCACTCGGACTCCTGAGGTGCCGGTTTTGAACCCAGAAGATGAAAAAGGCTGCTTTAACCTGCACTTATCCCTTTTGCAAGTGTGGATGTCCGTTTCATGTCCGTTATGTCCTTTAGCCTCTGGTGTGCCATCTCTTCAAATGCGTCGGCATTCCATCGCCGCTTATGGATAACGATGCGACCAAGAAGAAATGGCCTTAACCATCGAAGCTGATTCGCCCAAGGTGCACGAACAAAAAAGAACCGCCTGAAAAACACGCCTGATTGGTCAATTGGACTGACCTTACACAGTGACGAGCACACACTCTCAGTGAATGCCCGCCAGAATTCCGAGCACCGTTTTATGTCTAATTCGTTGATG